GCAGTCTCCTGGTAGTGACAGCGGTGATCCTCATGGCCACGATTGGGCTGGATTCTGCGGGCGTGCTGGTGGGCGTGGCAGCCGGATGTGCGGGCGTGGGCGTCGGGCTGGTGAGAGTGGGCAACAGGCTTAATCTCGAGGACTTGGCTCCCCTGCAGCTGTGGCGTCTCGTTCACATCTTCAACCTGACGGGGATCCTGACCGCTGCCGTGGTGCCCGTGGTCCTGACGGCGTTCGCGCAGGTGAGTTGGGGGTGGAAGGCGTGAAAAGCGTTTTTTTTTCAATTGGGTTTGACGGCGGGTGAAACAAGCTTTGGGGTTGAAACGTGGGGAATTGGGTTAAACGTTGTGGTGGTGTGTGGGGGGGGGGAAGCGTTGGGGTTGAAACGTTGTGGGGGAAGCTTTGGGTGGGGAGGTTTGGGGTTGAAACGTTGTGTGGTGGGGAAGGGAAAGGTTGGGGGGAAGCGTTGGGGTAGAAACGTTGGGGTTGAAACGCGTGGGGGAGAGGGGGGTTGGGGTGGAAAGGTTGGGGTCGAAGCGTTGGAGTGAAAATATTGTGATGGAGACACTGGACGAAATACGTTTTGATAAAATCGTTGTAATAAAACAACGTAATAAAACGTTGTAGTAAAAATACAATAAAAACGTTTCGACAAAAACGTTGTGATAAAAATGCTGCTGTTAAGATGCTATGATAAAAAAAACGTAATATAAACGTTACCATCGTTGTGATCGAACGTTTGTGATGTCAACCATGTTACAAGAACCTTCCGATAAAAATACTGTGATAATAAGACTTTTAGAAACGTTGCAATAACGATGTTGCATCACAATTGTAATAAAACTAATGTAATGAAAAGACTGATAAAAATGTAATAAAACCTGATAACATATGCGTTGAAATACAAACGTGATAAAAAACGTTAGAATAAAAACGTTGTAATGAAAGCGGTATGATCAAATGGTTAATATATTATATCGAGTGGTGAACACTTCCATGCGACTTGCAAAAAATGAAAATCGATCGAAATTTCGAAATCTCACTTGATTTTTCAAAAATAGACCTTGGAAACATACTTTCTCGTCTTGGATACTGAAGTTCTTCTGTATATTCTAATCACCTTTATTCATTTTATATGGGGGCTCAGTTACAGATAGTTCCCAATAAGTCTTGTGAAAGTATTCAATTCCCTTTTGATATACAATTTCCGGTAAAGTAACAGTTTATACGTTCCATAGCAAGGATACTTGGGGCTTCTCACCGATAAACAGATTTTTTTTCCCGAGGATCAAAACCTCATTGTGTATAATCCTCTGTCCATGCGATGCTTATTTAGTTAATTTTCAAGAATCAAAACCTCAGTGTCTTTATAATCTCTCTGTCCAGTCGGCTCAATACATGGCATGTTTAGGGGAAAAAAAGTTTGAATGCATGTCTTGTGCCTGGTTAACGAGTTAGTAATTTTAGATTATTATTGTTTGTTGTTTTTGAGTAAATGCAAGTATACATGATATATATATATATATATAATTATATATATATATATATTATTCGATATCTATATGTATATTTACTTGGCACAGATCTGTCGGAAATTAATACCACAAACCCCTCGCAGAACTGGGAAATAACGTTCTTCCATGGATAAACATCGCATAAAACATATTTAATGCATAAAAAAAACATACTTTATAGAACCCGCGCGAACCAGCTACAGCATCGGAATCTCTATGAGCGAAGGAAAGAGAGTCCAACATACTTACCCTGATCCCGCGTTCGAAATTACCCTATAAACTGGATCCTATTGACTGTCCGCTCCTTCGCCAAAGCCATTCGGTATTCTTGACGGGCGGCTTTCGTCGTGAAGGGCGTCGGGGGGGAAAGTGGTTTGACGAGAAGGGCCTTGTTGGGTCGTCGGGCTTGAGGGGGGTGGGTGGGGGTGGGCGTCGGCTTGAGGGGGGTGGGTGGTGGGTGGGGAGGGGGTTGATTAGCTTTCGGCGCGTCTGGGTGAGGTCGTGGCGGTTTATTTTGTCTAGTTTGATTTTCTTTGTTTGTTTGTTTGTTTTTGTCGGTTTTTATGTCCTTTTTTATTGTATCTTTCAGTTAGATATTTTTCTAAGTATATATTGATGTAGCGTTTTTCTTATATACATGTTAATTGTTTTTAAATTGTTACTTTTTATTGTAGTCGAATTAATTACGGTTTATAGGCCTATCTATGACGTATTCATTAGATTCTTGAAAATATCATGATAACGAAAAAGTACCTTGTTTGTCATGCTATAAGTGATTACAAGAGTTACTAAATAAGCATATCTGTATTTTAGAAAGATTTTTTTCATGTGTGATCTAAAGAAAAAGTTATATTCAATAAATTTATATTAAAACTTTCGAAAAAGAATGTCCTCGGGATGATTTAGCAGTTTCTTTACAAAACTAATGGAATCCTTTTAATTCTACGCATTAGGCAGAGTGACCTTGAAATGAATAAAGAAAGGTTATTAGGTTAGGCTTCATGACGTCATAAACCATAACAGCTGATTTTTGCGACCAGTTCGTGCGTGTCAACCTCCTTGTTTGTAAACATTGATGTCATTCTAGCGAGCAAACAAACACAAACACACAAACACACACACACACACACACACACACACACACACACACACACACACACGCACACACACACACACAATAAACATATACTCGTACAGAAATCGGATATTTCTCAAATATACTTTAGTTATTCATTATCCAATATTTTCTCATTAATATTTCTCTCATGGCAATTTAACCACCCTGCACTTAACGGAGAATGTTAGTTAAATAAGAGAGGACAATAACCAAGTAATTTTAAAAGATTAACGGCCGGTTTGTTAGAATTGCACGAGGCCCGACCCAAAGAATATTCGTACACTTGACATGCATAAATAAAGAAATAAATGCATATTTATCAGTCTAGACATGCATATCAAGCCGGCAAATAGATGGTTAAATGTATATCTATCAGATATATAAACAGATAGGCCTTTATTTCTGCATCTGTATTTATGAAAATTCATTGGGTCGGGCCTGGCACAATTTTAACAAACCGGCTGTATATTTCTAAACCAAATCTATTATTTCCATCGCCTTGTAAACTGACAGAATTACCCATTATAAACAAAAGAAATCAGATCAAAGTTTATTTGAAGTTTAGTACAATGGTCCTTTAACTTATTTTTTTCCTTTTTGAGTGTTCTTTTTCTTCCTCTTTAACGTTTATCTTATCACCACGGTGAAGTACTTTGCCATCCACTACCGAATATCTGAAAGCCCTATGTCTGGTTATCTCGAAAACCTGATAATTCAATCAATTTTATCACAATCCCGAATTTAGAAAATAATGTTAAGATCACTTTTAATGTTCACTCGTAAGCCCTCATGGTCACTTAATTACACAATTACACTCAACTGATTATCGTATTTTCACAGCGATGAGGTTGTTTGGGCAGACATGATATATGTAATTGTGTTTCGATATGTTTTGCTTGTGAAATCGGGATTCGCATTAATTCGCGGATCTCAAACAGCAAGTTTTTTGGCTAAATATTCTTCTTCTAATAAAAATTGGCGACGGCCTCCTTTTAGGACAACCGCGCCTCAATTCAGTATTATCATTGTTGTTGTTGTGTTGTTTGTGTTGTCTTGTTGTTGTTGTTGTTGTTGTTATTATTATTATTATTTTTTTTTTTTATTATTATTATTATTATTATTATTATTATTATTATTATTATTATTATTATTATTATTATTATTATTATTATTATCATTATTAGTTATGATTATCATTACTTTTGTAACTTGTTCTTGCTGTTATTTCATTTTAGTCATAATCGTTATTACTATTAATATTATCGTTATCAATATATGTTAATTATCATTGTTACTGTTATTGTCATGATTGTTATAAACGCAGTCCCATATTTTTTTTTATTTTATTGAAAAATGTATCTTCTTGATTTCAGAACATCAAAACAAGAAAGCTATATATTAAATTATAGTTCTGAAGGTTTGATATAAGTGAAATTATTATTTTTGATGATTAGAAAAAAAAATACATGACCTTTTGCACTTGCACAGTAAGGTTTGTTTTCGTTGCAAATGAAGTGCATTTAATGACATATTCTTGTTTACTTGGTGTGTATGCCTGTGCATGCGTGTGTGTTTACGCATGTGTGGATATGTTTACACATATTTCCAAGCTTGTATTTCCATTCATATTTATTTATTTGCAATTCTTCACATGTATGTATTAGCCTACATATATTTCTTTCTTTCTTCCATTCTTTATCTTTTGATTTATAGGCAATTCTCCATATGTATGTATTTGTCTACATGTATTTCTTTCTTCCATTCTTCCATTCTCGATTATTTATAAGCAGTCCTCCATGTATATGTACTTGCCTACATATATTTCTTTCTTCCATTCTTTATCTATTTATTTTCAGGCAATCCTCCACATGTATGTATTGGCCTACACATATTTTTCTTTCATTCTTTTTCTATATATTTTTTAGGCAGTTCGCCATATATATGTACTTGCCTACATATATTTCTTTCTTTCTTTCATTCTTTTTATATATATTTTTAGGCAGTTCGCCACATTATGTATTTGCCTACATATATTTCTTTCTTCTATTGTTTATATACTTTGTTTACAGGCAATTCTCCACATGTATGTATTTGCCTACATATATTTCCCTCTTTCTTCCATTCTTCCATTCTCCATATACAGTACTTGCCTACATATATTTCCCTCTTTCTTCCATTCTTCCATTCTCCATATACATGTACTTACCTACATATATTTCTTTCTTTCTTTCACTCTTTAATATATTTCCCTCTTTCTTCCATTCTTCCATTCCCCATATATATGTACTTGCCTACATATATTTCTTTCTTTCATTCTTTATCTATTCATTTTCAGGCCGGTAAGAGCGGATGGATGGCGGTATGGTTGGTACCCCTTACCCTGGTGGTTCCTGCGGCTCTCCTGCACCTTTTCTGCCTCTCCTCCAACGCCCAGTCTTGGGACCAGCCAGGTGAGAATTTTTTTTTTTTTATTTTATTTTTTTTTTTTTTTTTTTTTTTTTTTTTTTGGTTTTCGTTTGTTTGGGATATGGGTCCTGTTGAGTTGGATTTGGAATGATGATGATGGTGATTGGTGTTGTTGGTATCATTGTTATTGATTTTATTAGTTTATTAGCATTATTTCTGGTATTCTTTATCTTATTGATATTATTTATCATATTCTCTATCTTGGCATCATCATCTTCGTCATGTTTTTATTACGTCTTCTTATATTTATCATTATTATCCTTATTATTGTTGATATTAAGAATAACAGTTGATATTTATGTTATTAGTAGTATTTAAAGTCATTTTAAGAATTCTTAAAGTATTATCATAAAGAACACTGTGTTAGTATATCATGAATATAAAAGTTTAATTCTTATTTCTTACCATTTTCAGCTTTTTTTGTTTTCTAATTACTATATTTTCCTAATATTTTAGGTTTTTGTTGATTTATTTACATTTTAAGACCATTATATGAGTCAGTGAGCAATTACTCGGTGTACTCAGCTGACCCGAGTCCGCTTCTCCGAATTGACCAAGGACAAGTCATTGAGAAGCTAGGTCACAGGGAGTATTGGTTAAAGGAAAAATAGGTCAGGAAGGATAGGTCACAGGTAGGTTTAGGTCACAGGTAGGTAAGGTCACAGAAAGGTTAGGTCACAGGGAGATTAGGTCATAGGGAGGCTAGATCACATGGATGCTAGGTCACAGTTGAGGTAAGGTCACAGGGAGGATAGATCACATGGAAACTAGGTCACAGGGAGACTAGATCCTAGGAAAGATAGGTCATAGGGAGGCTAGGTCACAGGGAAAGTCTCAGAGGGCGCTTGGAGGAATATCCGATTTCTGTCTTTGGTCTATCGGGATATCTTTAATTGTGCGATAGTTTGGAAAGTATTTAGGCCTTGAGCTTAATCCTCTGTTTCTATAATTGTGTAGAAATATTTGATTATGTATTACGAGTGAGTGTCATCAGAATACCTTTTTTTGCTTTGTTATTGCTTGCGTGTTTATCATTTCTTTAAATGTATTGTGGGCATTCGTAATGTCTCAATTAAATATAGAAACAAGATATAGAAATAATGAGTGTGCTAAGTGAAACTTATTGAAACTCCCAGCACATTGATTTTTTTTTTCGTTTTATTAACATATGGATACTTAAGTAGCATTTGAAACGCACTGAATGTACGGCAAGTTTACAATAAATGCGTATTCGAGCATCCAGATAATTTCTAGTCTTGATTTATAGATACTTGGAACTCTCTTAATGGCGAGTTTATGCCGTATTTTAGGTCAGCGAGAACAAGAATGGGTAAATACTCATATTCTTCACAAAGACATTGCATTGGAAATATTTGTAATGCTTTGTTCAGTAATCGTGTTCAATCCTACCCACAGGCGTATATATATCTCGTCTCTAGGGTATATAAAAACAAAAGAACATCACGAATAGCGTGTTGTTGATTCGTCTAGCGATCCCTTATTCTCTCGCGTTGTATCGAAGCCTCTTGTAGGATCGAATCCGCTTTGGAACTCGAAACATCTTGTCATATTTTTTTCTCCCTTCTTTTTACACCATGGCTGAAAGAAGAAGAAATACTATACTCAAAAGAAGTTTTTATCAAGTATTACCACAAAGATAGACTGTTTTCCCGCTGTTGCGCCAACCGCCAATATCTATTTCGAACCGCGTCTCTTGCACCTCACGGACGCTTCCATCAGCTGTTTTGAGACCCCGATAACAATGCACCTATTGATACCACGGACTCACGCGGTACAAATTCGCTCTCACTGCTGCCAATATAACTTCCCACGCACCTCTTTGGCCGCCACTCTGCCCTTTGTCGGCGGGCGAGCGAAACAACAAAACAACTTACGGGGGTTTCAATAGGCCTGTGTTAGGTCTCATAGCTCGGCCATTGTTTATATCTCGAGCCTTGATTCTGGTGTGAGATAGATTTTTCATGATTTATGACTATATGGAGATTGTAAGGAGATATAAGTATAAGAAGATTATAAGGAAATATAAGTATAAAAGGTGATAAGGAATATAAGTATGGATATAAGTATAAGAGGATTATAAGGAAATAAAAGTATAGATAGAAGCATAGGAAGATTATAAGGAAACATAATTATGGATGAAAGTATAAGAAGATTATAAGGAAATATAAGTATGGAAATAAGTATAAGAAAATATAAGTATCAATAGAAGTATAAGAAAATATAAGTATAAATGTAAGAAAGCCTAAGAAAAAATATATATGAATTATAAGAACAGTTAGTCACTATTAAAGTTATGTATATCTTTGATATCTAATGAAAAAGAGAGGGACAGGGATTTAAAGTTAGGTATTATAAGTGATGGTTGAAATAAGGTCAGAGGTG